AGAAGAAGTTTCAGAGGTTTTTGAGCGTAGTATTCAGCAGTTTTTGACAAAATCTGTTTTTTATAAATTGCGTTGATTTCAAGCAGAAATTACGCGAAAATCACTCTTTTTTTCGAAAGACTAGCCCAATTTTTACCGTCTTTCGATATATACGAGGAGATAATTTGTAGAAAAAAATAGTTATCGAGAAAAAAAATGTTTTGAAAAATTAAAAATTTCCTCACATATCACGCAAAAACTACTCGTATTTCCGAAAAAATGTACATGGCCGCACTTCAAGATTTGTCTTCCAAGAACTGATTCCATTAAGGAAACTAGTGATGCTAAAACAGCACGTACTTTCTCACCCGTATTTGAAGCAAAATTGCGCGAATTTACGCAAATCACCCGAAATTACGCGAATACCAACGATACGCGATGCGCATTTTAGCCACAAATAAACTAGAAATTAGTTTATATTAATGCGAAAGAAAAGGCAGTAATCATTATAGCCCGTTATCAGTGCGGCGTTACAAAAATGGGTTGCAAGGAACAATGACCGCTAATTCATATGAAATACACATTTTGCTAATCAGCATTGTTGAAACCGCTAGCAAGAAAATATAAATAGAAAATATCTAATAATTAAATATATTTTTATATACATCAAAGTTATTCGGTTTTTACATGCATTACTTTTTATTCCCATATCTTATTAAGCAAAGCGAAATCTATCTATTCGTTTTCACATTTAACTCAATTAAAGTCCGCAATTTAAAATAGGTTTTAAATAATTTCTAAAGAATTCATTTTAGAACATATAACAAACTTTCGAAGAAGAAACGAACAAAGAAATATGAAATACGCAAATTCTAACGTACATTGCATCCAACTGCTTCAAAACTCCTCTAAAATTACGTTTACGAGGCGCATAAAAAAAGGAGCGGCCGTCTCTATCTGGCGTCAAATTTCTCAAAAAATACTCATATTTTCGTAAAATTCAACATAATCATATTTGAAGATCTGTTATTGATTAACACATTTCACTAAGATAAAAATGTAATTTCATAATTGTAATTGTAGTAAATTGCCGAAAAATTTTTGAATTTATTCAATTTTTGAAAAATTAGGTTTTTAACCAACATGATACGTCTTAAACGTCCTTCAGACGCTTAAGACCATCAACAAAATTTCATCAAAAATGATGGAGCCGTTTTTGAGAAAAGGTTGTTTAAACAAAAATTAAAATTACCTAAATTTCTCGCAAAAATACTCAAGTTTTCGAAATATTGTACATGATCTTATTTCAAAATCTATCTTTAAGAAACATATTTTATTAGGGGGAAAATATTTTTTAAAATTTTAGTTGTAGGAAGACGCCGAACACATTTTGAATTTTTTCAATTGTCGGAAAATCAGAGCTTTTAAACAACAACAGACCTGCGCCATTCTCTTAAACGTTCTGTAGACTATCCAACAACAAAATTTAATCAGCGCCATCTCTTTGAAAATTTTGAAAATGTCCCAGAGACTTTATGTAAAATACCCCCCACAATTAAAATATGGATTTCAAATTCAAAGAGCTACAATACTACTCAGATCGATTGGGGAATATCAGTTTTGGAGAAAATCGGCTGAACAGTTTAGCTGCTCGCGTTGTTCACAGACACGTTTTGCGGTCAATCATTTTTTTGTTATCAAGGACCCACAAAACAGGGATTCTGGCTACTCTGCGTGTTAGAGAATTTTTTTCTAGATTTAGCAACAGGATTTATCCACTTTTTCATTACCAGGGCCCTGTAAAAGAGTTTTTCTGACGAGAATTTGCCGTTTTCCGGCGCACGATTTCTCTTCTTATGCCGAAAGGGCGAAAAAATAAAAGGTGGATTAATCTTGTTCTTGCACGGAGCAAATTACTTCCTCTAAGATGTGTAGTCAGAAAACATGTTTTGTGAGTCTTTGATACCCAAATATCTATTGACGGCAAAACATCTGACCCTCCGTCTGTCAATCTGTCTCGATATTGGCCAATCAATCTGACTGATGACGCGGCCTCTTGCATTTAAAATTGATATTTTGTTTTCTGAGAATACTTTGCATGAAGCATCAATATTTTCAATAATGGTTTCAATTTTTTCTTTATTTTTTGGCCTGGTAGAGCAAAAGACTCAAAGTACCGTCGTAGGTTGGATTTTCGTTGCCTCCCTAGATATTCGAAAACTTCAAAAGTGTACATTTTTTTGTATCTTTCTACAAATGCAATTATGAAGATTGATTTTTTTTAGGGTTAATCTATTTTAAATGGTCCTGCTCTGGTCGCTTGATCGCCTCGAAAGAATTTCATATTTTGTGCATAAATTTCCTTATGTTTTGGCTGTTCAGAAACCTCTTTACATTTTTTTTATTGCACCTGGTTTACAAATTTGCGGTCATATTTTATTTACGGCATGCGCCATTTTGCGAATTTGTAGACATTCACTATTTTCTAAATTACTCCGCTCTGGGTTGTTTTAGCATTCTAGAATAAAACAATTGGATTCAGTATACTCTGGCCTACAAATTAAAATTATATTTAACTATATATTATGTTTTTATTTGGAAAATATTTGCATCCAAATCTATGGAATGCGAATGAACGAAATCCGATTTTCAGAGTAATTTCTCAATGAAGGAATAGAATCACAGCCTTAATTTTTTCTGCGCTTTTACACATAGCAGTATAGTTACTTTTTGTAAAATATCATTGGTAAATAACGTACCACCTGAAAATTACACCTTCTTAAAAATTGTAATTTTGGATTTTTTTCTAAATTTTCAACTGTAATATCTCTGTTGGGGGACCAGATAAAAATATGAAAATTTCACACACGCTTTATTGCTGTGATAGCAAACTTCAGTAAACATTTGAACTTTTATATTTAACTCAAAGTATTTTTTTAAATTGTAAACTTGCGCTACAAAGGCTTGATTTCCATATTGAGAATGCGTTGTAACAAGTAGTAATCATATTATTTTGAAGCTATTTTAAATCCAAATCTACATTGTTTTAAAATAATGAATTATATTTTATTCATAATAAACAAAAAGTTTTTATAATTTTCAATATTACGTACACTTTACTTTAAAACAAACGTACAACTTGACATGTAATTGGAGTTGGGAGCAGGCGTTCTTGTGTAGATTTCCTCAAGGCTGTCGTCACGTGAGAAAATTCGTTCGTACGGTTCCTTCGAACGAATCATCTAGTCGTATTATTTCTTTCCTTTTCGCTTAGCATGGCATTGGCAGCGCGAGTGTGAGTTGTAAACAAGGGTCATGAAGGCGCGTGTTATTGTGTTTCGTTGAGTGAATTATTTCCTCGTCGAAGGACATGACAAGTTACCATGAGTGAACGTCACCCAAAATTTATTCAAGTTGTGTAAAGTGAAAGTTATGTTATTAGTGTACTAATTTTACAAGGCAAAAAAATACTAGTCGAAATGTCATCTGCAGAAAGACAGCCTTTGATAAGACCGGAGGAAGAAATTATTTCTTACGGTGTTAATGTTGTAAGCTGTCGCATAATTACCTTGTGTTTATGAAAGTGCCATATGACAAAACATTTTGTTTGAGTACTTGTAATAAAAATATTTACATTCCTTATTGGTCAGTTAGTGATATATTTCTACTTTTCAGGCGGATGGCACTGGATCAATAAATAATGAAGATGATGCTACTCAGGAAAGTGAATGTAGGACTCATTGTGCACCTGAAACTGTTGAAGTTGGAAATCTAAACCTTTTATCCGCAAAGTTTGAGGTATTTGGTCTTCTTTTTCCTTGAGTTAAATTGTATCACACATGACAGAATAGAGTAGAATGTCTTCATGGTGCTATATGATTAGACCACTTCATTTTGCTTCAGCTGTCAGAATAAGTGAATTTTTAGTGTATAATGTTTTATAAAGATGAATTATAACTAAATTGAAAGGTTTTCTCTTATGTTATACATATTTGGAAACTTAGATAACATAAAGGTATTTAAGAAATAAAAAACATAGACCTGAATTCTCAAAAACTTTTGATGTTGCAGTAGATTTTTAGCAACTCCATTATTCTAATTTATTTATGTATAACTAAGTAATTTTGCATTCTGTAGATTCTTACATTAGAGATGAACTTAATGAAGTTGATTACTAAGACTTTTATAAAATAGGGATAGGTAAACATATACATCTTTTATTGTTTACCACTTTTATTTCAATGTACAGCATGAAGTGACTTGTTTTGTGAATATTTTATATATCTTTCATATTATGTCAACTATTTGAGGATAATTTTAAATTTGTTAAACATCGTTTCCTGAGGAAAATATTTTTCATATTGAAAAAGAACCTTTGATATTAGAAATTTGAAATGATATTTCTTCAGTTTCATACAGTACCCCTGATAGCTCACACCCCACTATCTTTCCTGTAAATACCTCTTCAATTCTTTTTGGTGCTTGCAGAGTTTGCCAAACATCTTTATATTTTGAGATCATTTCAATGCTTGAATTTTATCTTGAGTTTTTGATTATATTTATATTATATAATTGAGTGTTTATGATTGCAGAGTTTGGATTATGATACCTGTGAAAATCATTTACTGCTGGATGAAGAACGGAGCAAAGGTTATAAATTTATTATGAAGAAAAGTTTTGCACGGTGGATTATATTTTTATTGATAGGAATATTTACAGCTCTCATAGCATGCTTCATTGATATAATGATTGAAGTACTTTCTGATCTCAAGTACAATTGTCTTCAGTTCTGTATCCTTTTTGAAGGCTTTTGGTAAAAAATGTTTTAATTTGATGGCAAATTCTTGTACAAAATTATCATAAATATGAAACTTTTTTCCTTAATGTCTGATATAGATGTTGACTCGTGTGTATGGAATTATTGTCTGGTAAAGCCATACCTTTTGTGGATGGTTCTCAACATTGTTCCTGTTGTAATAGGCTCTCTGTTAGTTACATATTTAGAGGTAAGTTCTGATTCCCCCCTCCCCCTTCTTACTTTTTACTTCTTTCTTTTTTCTTATCTGTTTTTCTACCTTTTTACTTCTTTCTTTTTTCTTATGTTTTATGTGACTTCTCTTTTGTAGCCTGTAGCAGCAGGCAGCGGTATACCACAAGTTAAATGCTATTTAAATGGGGTTAAAATTCCCAGAGTTGTTCGTATAAAAACTTTGCTGGTCAAAGTTTTTGGTGTTATTAGTTCAGTTGTTGGTGGACTTGCAGTGGGAAAGGTAAATATTTATAAGATTGTTGCATTTGGTATTGTAATACAATATTCATTTAATATTGTATTCTTACTCCTTTTTTGTGAAAGGTGTTAACAAATCTGGCAAGGAGACATTTGTTCAATTGTTACTCACATTATTTGAAGACTAAAATATATTAGATCCTAAAAAGTGGGTATAGAAAAAGATGTTAGTGTTAGTTCTGTGTCTGTAGGAAGGTCCAATGATTCATTCGGGTGCAGTCGTAGCTGCAGGTATTTCTCAAGGGAAAAGTACTACCCTCAAAGTAGACCTGCGGATACTGGACTACTTCCGAGAGGATCATGAGAAACGTGATTTTGTATCTGGAGGTGCAGCAGCAGGTGTTGCAGCTGCTTTTGGAGCTCCCGTTGGTTGGTAAAATTATCCCCAGCTGGAATGGGTCCCCAAAAATTAGTAAAATCCTTTGATAATCTATTACTTCCTTGGGGACCCTAAATCAGTCTCTCTTGGCTTCATAACTTCATTACTAATCACTGATGGAGTTCATTTTTTTTTAAATAAATGCAAATTACAAGGATGTAAATGGAAGTCTTGGACAGACATTTGTGAAAGAATTGCCTATTAAGATTAAGTGTATACATGTAATAAGTATTAACGTATTAAGATCAAATTGTATAGAATTTACATTTTTGGCAATAAAATTTTTGTTGGAAGTTATCATTTTCATTAGCAATGGTAATAATTAATTACAATAAAATGCACATAAATGAAATTTAAGATAGGTGATTCAAAGACAAATCTTTCAAAAAAGTTATTGTAATCATCTTACAAAGAATTAGTTTTTATTTTCTAACTTCTAGTAGAGAATAAACAAGTATTGTAAATCTTCATTTTCTTAAATTGTTTGAAAAAATATTCTTATATTTTTATATCGTTAGAAACATTTAAGGAATAATTAATCCTCAGCTATTTTGAGCTGGTTATTACTGGATATAACAATTTATTTCAAAAGTTTCTGTTTACATAATGATATCAAGAAGTAAAATATTTATTACATTATAAAAGAATTGAAATTCATCATTTTATATTTGTCTTCTAGGTGGTGTTCTTTTCAGTCTTGAAGAAGGTACTAGTTTTTGGAATCAGAGTCTAACATGGAGAATATTTTTTGCTTCAATGGTTAGCACATTTACTTTAAACAGTGTCCTTAGTACCTACCATGGAAGACCTGGTAAGCTTTCTTCCCTAGTTACACAATATTCAAGAATTGAAAAATGTTCTGTGGAACAAAATCCTTTTTATAGGTGATTTGTCTTACTGTGGCCTGCTAAATTTTGGAAAGTTTGAGACTATTGTTTACACCTTCAGTGAGTTCTTTATATTTATTTTGATGGGAATGGCTGGCGGATTACTTGGTGCTCTTTTTAATCACATCAATTACAAGCTTACAGTATTTCGTCTTCGGTAAGTTGTGAAATCATTCAGTATTTTACAAAGTTTAATAATGTGGCAAAATCTTATAAGACTTCATTTTACAGATACATTCAAGCCAGGTGGTTAAAAGTATTTGAAGCAGCAATGGTTGCTGCCCTCACATGCACAGTTGGTTTCGCCATGATTTATGGCATGGATGACTGTAAACCTTTAGGGCAAGATCCCACAAAATTTCCTGTGCAGGTGAGAAATTTGCTAATAATTCCTTATTTTGATACTTTCAATTCTTTTAGAATATACATTAATAATACTTTCTCAAACAAAGGGATCAGTAAAAGATATATTTACCATTGGCTGAGAAAATAAAAACCCATTACTGCACTAAAGGGAGAAAGGTTTCTGAGCATTGTGATATGCTTAACTCTCGAAACCAAAATTGTGAATAATGGTTAGCTCACACAACACCTTAAATTATTTAACATTGCACTAACGCAGTGACCTGAAACCTTTCTTGGGGCACACACTTTTGTCTTAGAGAACATTAAGGCACACATGTGGCATAGAAGTAAACTTGTCTGCATTAGGACTCAAACACTCAGATGCTATCTGTACTAAATACTTCAGGTACTAATTAACCTGCACAAACTAGAATTTCCAGCATTGGCTCACATTAAAAATAAAAACCTGATTTAAGTGATTCTCTCCAGAAGTAAACAAGCTTATTCTTTCTATAAAATATAAAAAAGTGTGTCTGTTGACAACGAAATTCATCCACTTGTAATACAATTATGTGGTCTTAATATCTCAGTTTATTATGTTTATATTTTCCTTCATTTCATTTTTCATTCAAATCATTTTTGCAGTACACCCAAAATAACAACTACATTAATTGATATTTTAAAAAAATTACGTATTGTTTCATTTTTTCAGAGGTGAAGAAACATCATAGCACTTATTTTCACATTTTGTGATATTTAAACCCCAAATGTTTTATTAGGATGCAAGACCGGGTGGCCACCTTCTGTTAACATTATGAACCATACATAAGAGACTTAAGTATAATTGAAGCTGGAATTTACTTCAAAATAAAATTTCGTGATGGTTTCTGTTCTGTTCACTTTTCCTACAAATTATATAATTCAACAGTAGAAACAAATGTTATTCATAACAACCTTCCTGCAAACTAGCATAATATCATGGTTAATAAAACATTTTTAAATGTGCTTAATTTCCTATCAAAGAATGCGTTGTTTAATAATGTTATAATTTTCTGTTGTAGTAATTGAAGTTTCAAAATCTTCCTTTCTAGATGTTTTGTGGAGATGGGCAATACAATGTGTTAGGGTCAATTTGGTTTCAAACACCAGAAGCAAGTGTAAGATCTCTCTTCCATGATCCACCAGGTAAAGACCAGAATTTATATTAAGAAAGAAGAAGAAAAAATGTTCTTGGTGCTTCTTATAGTTCTTTTTCAGTATCAAAGGATTGGACCATTTAATTATTAATTGTTTTTTTAACTCTTTTCTGTATATTGTTATTCACACATTCTGCACAAGAAAGTTTCAAGAACATTTATTTTATATGTTTCAAATTGTGTTGGATACTTATTGCAAAAATACTTTTAAATTATTTGACCATTTCATTGCAGGTTCTCATAAAGTATTATCTGTTGCTGTATTTTTTGTTGGTTACTTCCTATTATCTTGTTGGACATACGGTTTAAGTGTATCTAGTGGCCTTTTTATTCCATCCTTGTTGACTGGAGCAGCATGGGGCCGGTTAGTGGGCATGGGTCTTGAGATCCTGTTGCCTGGTTGGGTAAGTTTCAATGAATTGATCTCTCAATATTTTGATGTAATCTACATGTTTTTAATGCGAAGGTAAGTTGTGTGCAAAGTGAGTGCTTCAGGCTTGCTTCATTTTCTCTCAGTATTACAGAACTGAGCAGTTCTTTGACATCTGGTAACAGGGTGGCCACTTGCTGGAAAATTAGGAAAAACCAGAGAACATCGTTGCTCTCAAAGTTAGGGAATTTGTAGGAGAATTGTTTCAATACTGGGAAAATTTTGCGGTTTGTAAAACTAAATATTAATTCTTAAAATGTTTTAAAATATTAGTACAGAATTACCACAACAAACGTGCAAAAATTTTAATTTGTATTTTGTGTCAAAAAAATCAGAGAACTGACGAATTTGTATCAGGGTAGCTTTAATATTATTTTACTTCAAGTAATGTGAAATTACAAATCTTATCAAGAAAAAAATTACTGGAAAATTTGGAAAAGTCAGGAAATATGATCCTAGAAGTAAGTGGCCACCGTGAGTTACAATATTACTAAATTAAGAGCCTGAAAATGCCATTAATTATTACAATAATTTTTATTGGTATGGTTTGTTTTTGGCGAGTTTCCTTTTAATTTATGCAAGAACTGAATTTCAAGATAGTAACAAAAAAAGCAGTTTGGTGATACTAGATACAAAAAAAACCCTTGTTTTGTTGAAAATACAAATCTAGACACATGAACAACCCTAACTCCTAAATTATTTTGTGAGATTATTTATTGCAATTGATGCGACACTTCTGTTATTTAATTTTGGGAGTGCTTCGTTATTTTTATGGAATTATTTGTGCTTTTTTGAAGTTTTGTTTGCTTATATTTTGTTAATTCAGTTTATTATTAGGTCTGAAGAAATGCACTTACAATTTAAAATAAAAGCTGAAATATTAGACACTTAAGTATGCTTTTTATCTTGTTGTTGATGGGTGTATTAATTAATTTTAATAACAAAAAGTATTTTCAATAGTGTTGAAATTTTTTCTTCCATTTGTGAAAAGAGTTTTCATACATCTGAACTTTTCCTGACCATGTGCAACAATTTTTCTTAAAACATTAGCTTACAATTTATTTAATGTGATGTGTGTTCACTAATACAACATAAATAATTGTTTACTTCTTTGTGTGTGCAGAAGGTAGATCCAGGAAAGTATGCTCTTGTAGGAGCAGCAGCTCAGTTGGGAGGTGTTGTGCGTATGACTATCAGTCTAACTGTCATTCTTATAGAAGCCACTGGTAGTATTTCCTTTGGTTTACCCTTAATGATCACGCTCATAATGGCCAAATGGGTTGGAGATTTTTTTAATGAGGTAATGAAGTTTTTGTTGATTGTTGGTTTTTATATTTATAAAATTATTTCAATAGAACAAGTAAATAAAGAGCAGAACCTTTACTTTATTAACCCTTACGCTGCCAAACGTCAATGCACTTGTCTACACTGCCATGAGTATTTCGTTTTCCTTTTAAATTTTCAACTACAGAAAGTGTAGTATGCATCTTGGTTGAAGTTATAACCCTTAATTTTGACTCAAATATATTTCGTATTAGTGTGTATTAGGTCAAAAACAGTAATTTAGATGGTCGTGGCCAGTGGCATAGCCATTTCAATTTATAAGTTCCCTGAAGAGACTTCTGTGCTCATTTCAATCATAGAGGCGACAAAAATATTAAATGAAATGGTTAAAATATTTACAAGATATTATTTATTCTGAAATTTCTCCGCCCCCTAGTGCTACCCGGGATGAGCCGCCCCTGCTGCCCCCATTATGCTACGCCACAGGTCATGGCACAAAAGTTTTGAAGATATCTTTAAACAAATGTAGATGTTATAGTTAGTTAAAAATATGGGAGCATTTCCTTAAAATCCTCTGTGGCTGTTTTCACAGCAGTTAGCATGGATTCTATTGCAGTGTAAGGATTAATATATCTTCCTATGTAATCATGAAGGCCCTACGCATGAAATATATCATAGTTCTCTTTGATGTTCCTAGTTAAAGCGTTGAGAAATAATTGTAGATCATTGGAACAATAAACTCTGTTTTTCAGGGCATATACGATATTCATATTCAGTTGGCTGGTGTACCACTCTTGCCATGGGAACCACCACCCCTTTCCAACAATATTTATGCTAGTGGTATAATGAGTCATCCTGTTGTAACCTTTAATGCTGTTGAAAATGTTGGACATATCATCGATGTTCTTCGCTCAGAGACTCACAACGGATTTCCAATAGTAGATCAACAATGTCAAGATGCGGTAAATCACTTACTCTATTAAAACAACATATCGTTCAATATTATTGAATTGAGCTAACATGTTTCTTTGTTCACTTTTAGGATAGTATGAAAACTTGTGGAACTTACCGAGGAATTATTTTACGGTCTCAATTGATTGTTCTGTTACAAAATAAGATATTTAATGAATCTGTAGAAATTTGGAATCCTAAGCAAGTGTCAATTAAAATGTTTTGGAAGGCTTATCCTCGCTATCAAAGTATTAAGGTGAAGAAATATTGTTTTGCTTTCTTAATTTATCACATATTTTCTTAGATTTCTTATGAATGTATTTCCGAATTCATTCATAGGATGTAAGTGTTACCCAAGAAGAACGTTTGTTCACAATTGATCTGAGACCTTTTATGAATCCAGCGTCGTACACACTTCTACATGTAAGTAAAATAAAATAATTAATATTTTATTTGCTAATTTTAATGTTGGTATTTAGAGGAATTCTTTTGTAGTCTGCATCACTTCCCCGGGTTTTCCGTTTATTCAGAGGCCTTGGTTTAAGGCATTTAGTCATTGTTAATGACTCAAATGAGGTTAGTTCCTTGTTTCTTCAAAATGTATTTAATATTTTATTAACATGTTCTGGTATTTATAAAGTAATCTAACTGCTCTTGTTTTTTAGGTCATAGGAATTGTCACTCGTAAAGATGTTGCAAGGTTTAGAGTTTGGAAACATAGAGGCAGAATGGGAATGATGGAATTGATGATTTCAGAAAAACTCTGAAGATAAAAATCTTGCCATTCACTTCAGTGTTTTTATCAGTTATTTTTGAAAAGTTCCCAGCCCATCCATGCCCAAAGTGAGAAAAAAAGTTTGACAGGTAGTATTACCAGCATGAGGAGGAAGTAATACTCCATTTGACTAATTTCTATAGGGGTCATTATTGAGTTGAACAGTCTTCACCACCAGGTTGTTGGTCTGGGCCTTCAGTTCCTGCGAAATATTAATACAGCATTTAATATTGTAAGTTTGAAATTGTGTAAATATAATTAGCGCATGACAATAAATTTGATATTGAAAAAAAGCTTTGTTCATTAGTAAAACACGTACCCAAACCTTACTTCCTAAATAATTCTTTCAAAATTACCCCATAGAAAACTTTATTTGGCGTAAATTTCTACCTCAAGCCCCAACGAGGCTATGTAAACATTTGCTCCTCACCAGAAAGCACACTGCAATAAATGTGCAGTTGGTAGAAATTTAATTTAATGAAATTCATGTGGCTTTAGACTTCCCAGTCCATGGGTGTGGCGTTGACAACGAAATTTACAACGCGAAGTTTCTTCTACGTAGAACCCGGGAGTGACGAAGGTCACTCACTACCTCTGACTACCTCAATCCAAGTTGTTTAAAGCCAGTTTACATTGAGATCCAACCGTAAAATTATTTTATATAATATTGCCACCTCCGTACATCTATGTCACAGAATATGCAATGATAGAAAATGAACAAATGTGCTATGCAGCGTTCGTCAAATTTCATTTGAAACGAAGTACCAATAAAAAAAAAGAGGAAAATGTAAACAATCTGAAACAAATGTTTGAAACTTTTTCTCTGTGATAAAACGTTCGTGAATCGTGGAAATTATATTTTAGACATTCTTTGTAAGTACCTATTGATAAAATTAATTTTTCATAAGGATTTATAATTTTGTGTTACTACTTGATGTCACGACAGTTCTGTCACACGGCCTATCTTATCATCCATTGAATGGATTCCATTCCATACCTCTCCCTCCACCATGGAGTATTCTTTCAGGACTCCACCTTCCACCATGGATGCAAGTTCTGCGACAGTTGCATCCACGACCAGCCACTGTCTCCGTGTCTTTTTAGTTCTTCAATTGTATCTTCAGATTTTCTCGCAAGGCTTTTTCTACATACGTTGTGATATCATTAATGTAGTCTATTAAATATATTCATTCATTAATGCAGGTGAAAAATGGCATCGCTTTGTCTCTGAAATTGTCGTATCTTAAGAGAAGCTCAGTGGTACTCAGTGGCGTATCTGAGTGAAGTTGGAAACCTAGTGACCTGTGAACGTGTCAAGTTGGCAAGAAAGTGTGCTTCCATCTACAGCAGGGCATGTGAACTAGTGCAGACGCTGCTAGTGATATTGCACAGAGGTTAAGCTAAAGGTATTAACATAAAATTAGCTTTTTTTAGCAAAATGTTTTGGAAATGCAACTATCTGTCATCACCGCATATAGAAGTTTTATTGAACAAAGAAGATGTGTCTTTGCACGAGGTCATGGATGAAGAAAATGTGTTGGAAGAATGTCGAATACAGAACAAAAAATTGATTGATTACTTGTCGAGACCAGATGTGATGGAAGAGTTGGTGACCCTTACAACAGTGGAGCCATCTGGCGAATTGGATGAACGTGCTCGTTACAAATATTCAAACATTGCATGTGAACTTTTGACCTGTGACGTTCCCGCTCTTAACGAGCGTCTTGCTGGTGATGAAGCTTTGCTGGGCAAGCTGTACGCGTTTTTGGAAGCAGACTGTCCTCTAAACCCCCTATTGGCTTCATTTTTCAGTAAAACAATTGGTGTATTGGTTGCTCGCAAAAGTGAACAAAACTGGTATTCATATCAGTTTACTTGCTTACAAGTTTTGGAATTTCTCAAATCTAAAGAAAATTGCATTAGCCTGTTAATGAAACATTTGGGTACATCTGCCATTATGGACTTGGTATTGAAACTTATAATCCATGTGCAGGGACCTGAGATGAAACAGAACATTTTGAATTGGCTCGATAGTCAGCAGGTTGTGCAGTGTCTTGTGGGATTATTGGACCCCTCTGTAGATGCTCAACGTCATGCAAATGCTTCCCAATTATTGTGTGATGTAATAAAAATGTCAAGGGAGAAACAGCTCACCACAGATCGCCCAGAACCTGACCCAATACTCAACACACTTGAATCACCAGAGACTGTGTCACAACTTCTTGAACATATTTTGAATACTGAGAAATGCGAAACCGCTATTGTGGGGGGCATATCAGTACTTCTGGCATTATTGGATTGCAACAAACCAAATGGATCAAGCGTTGGCATTAATAAAACATTTGGTGTTGGTGATCAAGCTGAAGAAACAACGGGAGAAAAAGAGCAACCATCGAAAATTGTGCTTAGCACAAGTCATGCTATTCTACCCTACTTGAAGGATTTACATAATTTACTTCTAGACCCCCCTCAGAAACCTTCTGTCAAAACAACAGCTGGTGCTTTGGACCCTCCATTAGGTAATACAAGACTGCATATTGCCAAATTACTTGCTGCTTTACTAGCCACAAACTCTGGGGAAGTAAATAAAGAATTGGCAAATCTAGGAACCTTAGAAGTATTGTTGGATTTGTTTTTCAAGTATACATGGAATAATTTTCTGCATACTCAAGTTGAACAATGTTTATACTATGCGTTGGAATCAGAGTTAAATAATACTTCTGATGAAACAGCCACCCACACTTTGTTGAAGCATATATTTGTTCAATGTCAGTTATTGGAGAAAGTATTAAAAGCGTGGGAAGAAAATGAAACACAACAATCCAAACCTGGAGGTCGTCGTCATGGCTACATGGGTCATCTTATCAAAATAGCCAATCATATAGTAGATCATGCTTGTAAAGGTCCTCTTGCAGACTTTATCAAAGAGCATGTGCCAGAAGAAACTGCATCTGCTTGGGATGCATTTGTTACCAATACATTATCAGAAATAAATAAAACACACAACATTGTTTTGGGTGGAACTCCTCCAGTTGACTCAAACACGGAAGATGACACTGCATATCAAGAAATTGCATTCCAGCAACCTCAAATGTATCGAATGTTTAGTGCTGATTTTCAGTTACCACAAATGTCTCCCCAGTTCATTGACAATTATGATATTCATGATGATGAATTTGGTGATGGTGATGAAAATTTGCATGTAGACCGAATGAATAACAAAACATTTGATTATTCCAATGAAAAGGTTTTTAAGCGTGTATGTGCTCAGAAGTCTAATGCTTTTGATGGAGAAGATGAAGCCTGGAATGACCATGATGACGACGACGATACTCCCACTTTTGATCAGGAAGTACAAAAAGATAAACAGTGGCCTTGCAAAGATGACAAAGAAGATGAAAGCAAAGGTGACAATGATGATAATGATAATGATAATAATGATGACGATGCTGATAATAATGATGATGATGATAGTAAAAGCAGTTCTGAAAAGAAAGAAGTAGAAATGGAGGTGGACACAATGGATCCGTGGACCTCACCTGATGTCACAAGTGAAGGAGCTGCAGCACCTGTTGCTGTTGATGCTGTCAATCCATGGGCTTGCAGTTCTGATCCAACTACAGCTCCAGCTCCTTCTGGGGATGATGCAGGTTGGGCAGATTTTGGAAATGCAGGTTTTGCTGATTTTGAAGCTAACTTTTCATCACAAGATGTGAGTGAAAACAAAGAAACTGACAATAATGTTCCTCCAAGTGCTTTAGGGGATTCTGAAAATGTAACAACAAATGTACCAACTACATCAGAATATAATTTTTCAGTGGTTTTATAGTCAATGTGTTACAGCTTAGAGTCCATAACAAACAATTGAGACATACCTATACACATTCTCATTCAATGAGAAAATAATACTTTGAATATACCCATGTTATAATATAAATTGCTTTAAACACTGTTGTTAATGCTTTATTGGATATTTTCAGTGTGAACTTCAAAGTGCTATATTTAAGTATGTTTGTAGGTATGTTATTATAATTCCAATGTTTAGTATTTTGTTCAATTTAAAAATCATAGTAATTAAAACGAAGTAGGTGTGTAAAGTGAACTGCTTTATTAAGAGATCTTAGGGAAATCCTTTTTAATGAATTTTCACCAGAGCAACTGGACTTGGCCATAAGAGAAGTGCAACATGACACCTTTTTTAAGAGTTGTGTATCATGCCTATAGAAAATCATGTGAATGTAGATAATTTATTATCAATGGAAGATGGACAGTTAATTAAATTAGTTTTAATATTGTTATATATGAGCGAATTGATTAGTTTTGAATCTGTGTATACATTGGTGATAATAGGTTGCTGTTGATGCGTGAGAAATGGCCGCCGATGTTACCCGAACTTGCTTACCCCCACAATGTAATATGACGCCTTAAGTATTTTTTAGGATTATAATGTTGGTTTTTGAGTTTACTGTAAGAAATGATTTTATTGTTCTTCATTCCCATGGTCAACATCCTTTTCCCTCCCGATAGTTACTTCCTGTCTTTTCCGTGCAATCATTGCTACCACGCGTACGCAAGGAATGTTCAACTGAAGTAACTAAAACTTCATGCGGCCCCTGTGGACGAAACCAAAGAGAAATTGGGTATTAGCCACTGCGATCTCCGTCGGAAGGTGACAAAAGAGTTCGACAAGGATTATTTTGGGAGCACTGTTCGGAAGGGTGCAAGTCATGTACAATTAAATTGTATTAATTTTATTGTATTGTTGAAAAGTCAAGGAAATATAATTAGCAATAACTAACAGGAACTGCATTCAATGTTAATTCTTAACCTCACCTTAACATTAAGACGGAAATATGTGACGAGGACGTGAAATGATTGCTTGTTTAAGATTTACGGTTGGGTATCGGGCTAGACAATGAAAATGTTAGAAACGCGTAACAATTTACATAAGTTTTTGTTACTCCTTCAGCAGAGCACTAGTTATAAAAAGGGAATTAGTAATTGCCCGTTACAAAGATTCTCAGAATTATGCTTTGTTTTTTACGATTTGGTTCATTGGAAAAATCGATATATCGTTCAATGACTCGAGCAGTCGATTGTATTCAGAACTCATGGTGCATGAATGCCATGAAATCGTATGGCTGACTGGCGGCGTCATGCACGTGGAGTTGGACGGAAAATTAATAGCGAAGTCGTAGAAGAATAATGTTCTGTCATGGTTTAGTGTGGATGTGTTTTATTACACAGTTTTCGATGTTTTAACAAGCACGGGAACAAATATTCAGAACTTTCAATTAATGGAAGTAGTTTAATTTAGGTGCTATTTGTCATTTTCTTAGAATTATTTTAGGTTAATTCTTGTTTCTATCAAGAAATAATGGGGAAACCGAAGGCTAAGCGCAGAGGTCTTTCAGAAAGTGCTTCTGCAAAAGGAGCTATGCCAAAAAAGACACTTAACCCATTCGAAATCCATGTGAATAGACAGAAATTTAATGTTATTGGTCGAAAACTGAAGTCTGAAAGAGGCTTGCCAGGAATTTCTCGCTCGAGAGCTATGGCAAAGGTAAGGACATTTTACTTTGTATTTGCATTATTATGGATAATCCTGTTTTGTGATATAACAAAGGGTTTCAGTTTTCATGCAATTTTGTTCTTTTTAACAGAGAAAGGCTACTCTTCTTCAAGAATATAAAGTAAAAGATAAATCAAATAAATTCTTTGATAGGAGAATAGGAGAGAAAGATAGAGAGATGACAAATGAAGATAAAGTTATTGCACGATTTACTGCAGAGAGAATGAAATCGTTTAAGAAGGTATGATTGATCTCGCCTAATATTAGTCATTAACATCTTTTGTGATCTTTTAATGTTATTTTATCGCAATGATGTATAAATTGATACACAAGAGATGTAGTTTGAAAATTCTTAATACTGTACATATTCTGTGACTAGAATTATAAAATTGAAATTTGTTAAATATGGTTTCAGGATTCATGTGAGTCTTCTTTATTTGATTTATTTAATTTGATTATTTAATTGATTTATTTTAATCAAAAAAGTATTGTAAAGTTTCATGAGCTGTATGTATTACTTTGTTTTCATCTTGCAGAAACAAATATTCAACTTGGCAGAGGATGAAGTTCTTACTCATCGTGGGCAAACTTTAAGTGAAATTGAAAAATTTGAAGATTTTCATAGCGATGATGATGAGGATGTCAATGACACTGGCAAACTTGGCGGTAAGTTAATGCGTTTAGTAACTAGACATGGCCAGTGAATTGGTTGCCAGTTAATTGAAAGTTAACATGTTGCATATACTAGTTATTGAAAGTATTCAGGCAAATCAAATTTTTAAAAGACAGTCGGAGGTTCATTGTGAATTTGTCACAGTATTTCTTCAATAAGTACAATTGTCAGGCAGGTCTTTGCACCTTTACTACTATTAGACAAGAAAATTGTATAAGCGTAATGAGTCACTTGAGGAGATGGAAATTAGTATAAAATTTTTCCCACTAGTTCATTTGCAATTTTCTTTTTGTGTGTGGAAGGGCCATATGTAAGTGTATACAAATAGTGATACAATTCATTTGTGGTTTTGAAAGTGCCGTGAAGTATGCAATTGTCAGGGCAAGAGAAAGGAAGAATTTGTGCTTAATCAATTGTGAAACTGCATTTGAGCCGTTGTTGATAATTTTGTCTGGCTGGGAGCATAGAGAGGTAAAAAGGTCTGGTCAAGCAAGAAAACTGACAAAGGCCTCTATATTATGGTTTTGCAAAAAGAGAGTTGTAACATGCTTGTTCTCAAATTGTAAGTGAGAATGTGGCGTCTTCTCACTCAGCAACCAAATGTTCTTTTTGATATTTCTGTGAAAATACTTTTATCATGTAAGTTGGTAATTGTCCAAGATTAGATATGATGTGTGAAGTTCCTGGACCACCTAAGAAAATAGTTGAATGACTCATTCAAAAGCTTTAGGTGCAGGTGAAACTTAAAGTAGGGCCCCCCTCACTGGGGGTGGGAGGAGATATATATAAAATTGCATTCATTTTACACTGTAGAAGTGGAGGCTCTTATATGTTTCTTAAGAGGAAACAAAGCCAATTGCATAAAGTAATTCAACATTCAACAAAATTAGATTATATGTGTCAATTTACAATGGGGGAAGAGGTAAACTCTATCAGTTTAGTTTCTCCTTGTCTTCTTCAAGCCCAGATTGTAAGATTGCACTAGTCTGTAGCTCTGTGCAGTAGTGTTCTACTCATGTCTGACCCTTGCCTACTAGTGTGTTCCATGACTCGCTACCCGCCGCATGTTCTCCTGGTTCTAAAAAGAAACCAATAGATGTCTGTTCAAGTAAGGAGATTTTCCCCTTGTGCCATACAGATCTATTAAAAAAAGTTCTTTTCCCTGTAGGAGCGCTGAGAGGTATGGTGAATTATCATAAAAGAGGAGGAAATATCGAGAGTTCTTCTACAGAGCAACTTTAATTGATTACAATCATTATTGCGTAGCTGAAAAGTGCACGTAGGTTAAAAATCTGATCAAAATAAATTTCCTCATAATTATCAACTCAGAAATTGTACGTTTCCCCCCGCACATCTCTCACACAAAGCAAATATTTTATTTGGTAATTTCATCTAGTTTGAGAAAATAAGTGAAGAGGATGTTCCTTCCTTCCCTTGCCTAACAAACCACCACTGCACAGTAGGTAGAATTTCTTACTTAATTGTATGTTGTGTTTTGTTTAATTTCTTCTCAGAATGCTTAATATTAGCGAGCTTTAATACATAATCTGAAATGAAATCTTTTGGGCCTAGAACTCTGATGGTACAGAAGAAAAGGAAGAGGGTTATGCTGTGCGTAAAAGGTGTTGTTTTGCTTATGATGCATCGTAAGACATAAAAATCAAAACATTTGAATGAAGAAGGCTCACAAAAGGAAAACCAAATTTTCTTTAGAAATTTGAGAGTCTGGATTTATTTAATGTAGTTACAACAATACTGATATCTTAAATATTCAATTTACATCAATGGAGATTTATTAATTTTCAAAATTTCGGATTGCATTTTTTTACACAATAATCTGAATTCTGGGAAGAAAGTTGCTAAATTTTTCAAACTTTTTTCATGAAACAGGTTTCTTTTGTTCAAATTGTTTTTTAACTGCTTGTTTTTAAAATTCCAGCCAGCTTTGTTGAAGATGCTCATTTTGGTGGAGGCCCAGAAGACAGAGACAAGAAAAGTCGTAAAGATTTAATTGCACAATTAATAGCTGAATCTAAGAAACGAAAAGCAGAGAAACAGAACATTCGGGAACAAACATTGGATTTGACTGAGAAGTTGGATACAGAATGGCATGATCTTCTACCCATTGTAGCATCATCAAAAAAGAAGCCAACAGATCCTGTAGAAGTTGAAAAACCAGATTCTTATGATGTAATGATGAGAGAGTTAAAATTTGAAGCAAGGGTTAAAGTAAGTAGATTTATTGTTATTCAGTTTTATGAGAACATCATTTTGTTTGTATTTAAAAATTAAAAGTTGTGTTATTTACATATTTATTACACCAAAAATCAGTTATTATTGTGTGAGAGGTTAGAGGGTGGGGAGCTTCATTTATTGCCCTGGTGCAAGATGTTAGCTCAGCATTTACTCTGTGGATGGCTAGGTAACTGAGCAGAAAATCGTAATGCAATGGTTGGATTATTGACCAAAAAAAATTATTTCATTTCAGACAATATTATACATTTTTCTCATGAATAAAATGTGTGGTGTGTGTGTGTGTGTGTGTGTGTTTTGTGTGTGTGTGTGTGTGTTTTGTGTGTGTGTGTGTGTGTTTTGTGTGTGTGTTTTAATATGTATGGCTTGTGGTTGCCCCACAATCCTATGGAACTACTGAGTAAACAAGTAGATTTGCACTGCGAATTGCTGCACATTTTCTCCAGAGAAGAGGAACAACTTTTAGAAAACCGGTGACTGGCAACAATTCTTAGTGGTTCTAGTTTTCAGTCTGGAGAAAGCGGCAGTCAATGGAGTGGACAGTCACGGTCAGTCTGCGTCCAAAGTTTTCATCCAAAAAAGAAATGCCTAGAGTTTTCCAGGATGAAAATGGAATTTTGCTGGTGGACTGATTAATCAGTATCAGGTAAATAGTGATATCTTCTGCAAAACGCTAAGTGCAGGATTCAGCAGAGGTGGTCAGAAAATGGACTTCATATTGTTTTTTTTTATCACAACAATATGAGACTGTTTCGGAAAGCAGCAAACAAAACGGCAATAATGGGATTCATGAAGTTCATCTCTCTAGATTCACTGTACCTGCTCCCTTCAACAACCTATTGTTTAAAAAAATGAAGGATACATTGTGTGGTTGGCTATTTTCATCTACCAAAGAAATGGAAGACTTTCCGTGACTGATCCAGAACTCTAATGGAATGGTTTGCAAGGAAAATACCCAAAACAAGGAGCAGTGTAATTACATAGAAAGAGAATATTTATATTTTTCATCTTTCTTCTTTAGGTATAAAATAAATATTGTGAATTTTATAGCGGTTTTTCAAATAATTTCCCAGCACCACAAGGTTGAAAAATTCTCTTGGTTTGTGACGCTGATGAAGTATGAGGAAATTTCTTGCATTCATTTTCAAGTCGTTCAGTGTTAATATTTTGTTTTCATTTGTAACTGACTATTCCTTCAAATGTATGAAAAATTTGTTGAAAATATTTAGCCAATGTGAAACAATCATTTTTAAAATGATGACCTTTTCATATACAAAAACTAACTCCTTCTACACACATATATTTACCTGCACTACACTACCACACATCTCAGGAGGCCATGTCAGGAGCTTAAAGTGTGCCTTGGTTAAGAAGACGCATGGTAATTACACAAGTTGACATATAGGTAGGCGCTAGATCTTACCATTCAGCAGGGAAAACCACCATCTCCCGTGTGAAAAGTATGCACTACACTTATGGGACCAATGATCTTGGCCATCGACACACCCAGGAACACTAATCTGTCATTCACTATTTACGTGTTTTAGCTAGCAGCTCATTACTCTAAACTTACATCTAAATAAGTTGTGTGTATGTTTAATTCTGTTTGTTTTACTCGGTTACGTGTATTATTCAACCATGCTGTATGTGGTAATAATATTCTAGCCACAAGCTGTGATGGTCAAGAAGACAATGGCCGAAATATAATATTTTCTACTTTTAGAGTATTACTATTGGCTTATTGGATGATAAATTCCTAATAAACGCTGTTAGTGATCACTGTGTCATTTTCAAAAACTTTTTAATACATTTAATAACAGATTGTTTCAGTATATTCAATTGAGTTATGATGATTGTGGTGATTCAAGCAAACCATTTGATATATGTCTAGAAATTTGCGACAGAGCATGTCAAATGCTTGTTTTCTAATATTTTTCTCTCATTAGCCAAAATTTTGCATCCATCCCATCGCAAATGTGATGTCAAATGCTTGGTGTCAAAATGATGGTAGATCAAGACACTAAAATGTACTGATGAAGATTTACTAATGTGTACTCAAATATGTTTCTTATAGGCATCTGATCCTCTGAAAACAGAACAGGAAATACAAGAGGAAGAAAGAAAGAAACGAGCTGAACTTGAAGCAGAAAGAGAAAAGAGAATGTTTGCGGGTGAAGAAAATGAACAGTTGTACAAGCATCGAAGTGCTGACGATTTAGACGATGGGTATTGTTATTGCAAATGTAATTTCAGTCACAGCTCGGTTTTCATTAATAGATATTTTTAATAGTTTTCTTTCACTTTTACAGATTTGCAATTGATGTAGAGCCTGAAGTTACTCTCACTTATGATTTGGAAGGTAACATTATGCTTCGTGAGTTTGAAAGCACTGAAATGGAGGAAGGTACTGAAAAAACATAACTGAATGATTGGTTGTGAGTGGTTCATTCTGCACAGATATTGATATTATTTTTGAAATTGGTATTTATTTTAGAAAGTTCAAGGTCTGCTAACCAGCTAGATAAAGTGAATGAAAATCAAGAGGATAGCAATGATGGTGGTAGTAATAATGATGAAGAAGAAGAAGAAGAAAATAGTGGTAGTGAAGATGATGATAACGATGATGATGAAGAAACTGATGATTCTTTGTCTGACTTAAGACCATCATCAGGGAATGAATCCTCTGCGGAGGATGTAAAAGACAATCAAAGCAAGTATTTTCTTCTATTGTATCTGTTAGCTCTTTGAAACACTATAAATCAATGTTCACACCTTAAAATGTTTCCAATTAGTGTGCAGTATGAGCTGCACTCTTGTCAGGTTCCTGATGCAAAAGTAAATAGTTCTTTGTGATCACATTTTTCTGCCTCCTTTCGTAAATTTAACTAGATGATGAAGCCAGTAATGTGGAAATGGCAGTGAGAGGGTTTTGTGATGTGAAAGTGAGGAGTGCCTGTGAATAGTAGCTTTAAGATGGGTTAGTTTAGGGTTAGGTGAAGATAATAAGTGTTAGCCGATAGGTGGTGCCCTGAACAAGGAATGTCAAAGGATGTCTTACAGAGAAAGGACTGTTCTGGGAAGGACATAGACATGGTCAGATGTGTGCATTGTGTGTGTGAGAGAGCATGAACTGTATCCGCTAGTTTGCTGATAACTGGGTGGAGCTTTTTTTAAATACTGAAAGTAAGTGCTTTCAGTACTGTGTCCCATTAAATCTTACAGTAATGTATTAGCTAAAGAAACTTGTGATAGAAGTCTTCAGCTGGGCAATTTACAAGACACTGACAGTCACGCTCATGCAGCAATTGAATGAATGTGCTGAGTATCATAGGATGCACAATATGAGTGTTGTGTAATTGGACCACAAAGACTTGCTCTTTAGTTCATCTGATGTAGCTGAAGCTGGCCTGTCAGTAAACATAAAAGTGAACTACCACTTCGAGTTTTAGAGTTTCTATCAGTCTGCCATTAAGTTACTATTTTATAGGTATTTAGCCATACTTTTTTAAGACAATTAATTATTATTACAATAATTAGAAACACGTATAGGAAAACATTTCAAATTGTTTTTTTGTTAAAATAATTAAATACACTGCTTTTAATTATTTTATTGGTCACATTGGTCTTTAACTCCTGTTAACATACAATGCCCCAATCGTACAGATTTGTTAAGTTCACTTGTACCTACCTGTATGTATGAAATTTAGCATCCTTAGCAATGTAAATAAACAACCATTGAGTCATCACAAGTCAAATATTTCTTAAGAAAAACACATGGCGATGTACAAAATAAATCAGATTCAAACAATTCAGAATATAAATAACTCGTATTAATTTTGGGGGTATTTATTGTTAATTGTAATATTATTAATAGTTCAATTAGAAAACTATATTAGTTGAACCTCATTTTCCTGATATTCCAATAAATGAAACTGTTCTCTGGTAATTTACTAACAATACTGAAGGTGTCATCACTGAAAGTCGACACTCCAACTTCCTCCCCGAACACACATTTCTTTAGGTATCTTTGGGTTCACGAGAATTATTTGCATTTACTATCGCAGTAATGTCATAAGTTTTCACACAAATCATGAGATCTTATGAGGTCTGATAAAATGGTGAACATTTCATGAAATGTTAGCATTATTTCTGCCTCACCCAAATTAAAAATCTTGGCTCCATTATGCTATACCTCGATTTTTAATTTTTGGCCTCTGCAGTCATAACACTCATAACATTTCTAGATATGTTAATAGCTATGAATAATAACTGTCTAAAAAATGTTTGGACAGAAATATATGAATTTCTAACTTCATAAGAGTGGTGAAAAATATGGTATCCTGAATGTTTTCCATTCATTAATGAATTTGGTGAAACTTTGAATGCATTAATCAATTTGATTCCATTCTGGTGAAACAAATCACTGAATTTTCAGCATAGTTCATGAGATTCATATGATCCAGTCTAGAGTATGTCAAATTGTTAAAAACAACCTTCTGTCAAGTGACAACCACAAATCTGTGATTAAAGAGATGTACTCACATACACAGCACATGTGTTTTTATCTTTGAAATATTTACTTAATATTATAATATTGAAACTTGTATCCTACTAATTCTTCACCCATTTTTTTAAAAAGTCTTTTCAGCAAAATATTTGCCAAACATTTTAAATTAACGTTTTTGAAAGTTCAGAAACTGAAAATTCGACTTATACAATATTATTTTACAAGCATTCAATGAAGGTAATTGATAAAGTCATAAGTAACAAAACCTCTTCTCTGTTATGAAATTGCAATTAAAGAATTAAGATGCTGTGATCACAATGCACAAATTCTTACAATTGCAAAAGTTGCCAGCATTGACACATGAAATACTAGACATATATCTAAGTTGTTTACTAAAAGTCAAAGAAAATGTTGTTATTGTACATAGTACATTTATTGACACTCCACTAAATCTACCTGAAGTGTGCAGGATAGAATGCGAAAGACATTACGTATAAACAACAACCATCTCTAGGTAACCAACCAATCATATTATTACATTGTAATAATTAGTCCCACGATTCCACATTGTAAATAAATGCAACAGAAAATAGTTCATGGACTTCTTGCTGCACAGTAATCATGAAGCATGGTGCTGTTGTTTTAAATGACATATATAAAGAAAATTGTAATTTTAATGTTAAACAGTCATTAATGCAATGTTTATTTCATTAGTTCAGTCGTTAGAGCTTTTGTCTGATAACAAAGTCCTCAGATCCTGGTGGGATCATTTATTTGCACTTCACGTCAATTTATTTTCAATTTTGAGTTACGTCATGAAAATTTTCCCACTATCCCGTACATACCAGTTTGAAGATCTGGATATGCAGAGTTCCATCGCCAAATGACCCACTTGCTGGTCTCAGAAGCCAAAGTGTTCACATCCTTGACTAAGTAAATTTTTATTGTTGTTGCAGTAAACGTTTTGCCGGGATACTGTAGCATACATTGGGATTCAATACAGAAAGCAGTTTTTATTTAAACTTTAAAACTAAAAGTTGTTTAAAAATTTAAATTGTATGTATTTTTTCAAAAATCTCTCACTTTATTTGATGTGTAGTTTTTAAATTGATGACTGAAGAGCTAGAAGGATAGAAAGTTCAATACTATAATATTAGATAACTGTTGCAAATAATACATGAAAGTGTGTACTGTTGCTGCATCACGAGTTTTTAGAGTGGTCTTGAGACATCGTGTTCTTTTCACCTCTATTCAGTTTGTACCTGTATGTCATGGGATTTTCCCTTCTGTGACAGGATGCCCCCAATAAGGCTTGGGGTTGCTCTAGTGCTACTCTGAGCTGCACCTGTTACCGCTGTGAGGCATACATTTGCATTTGTTTTCCTTTTTTAAGAATGTTACATGCTTCAGTTACTGAGTACTATAGATACAGAATCCTACTTCGCCCAAACTAGGCTCCATATTTTTACATCAACTGCAGCCACAACGTTCTGTGATTTGGCTTGTAAGCTGTCTGTAGTTACTTTTATTGATTGATTTATTCGTGGAAATCATTAAATTAATCATTTAAAATGGATCTTAAAGACCCTGGATTTAAACATAATTGCATTTTTCTAGTACTATTATTACTTTCAAAGGCAACCAATTAAACCATCTTAATAAGACATTTTCATTTGTGATGGGTATTTAATAGAAATATCATATATGGGTTTTTGTTGATGACAAGTAGACATTACAGTTGCTGTGAATGTTTACACTGTTTTGGGGCTGTTTCAGTGAGTCAGAACAATCAGAAAGAAGCAAAGCAAGAAAGAGAAGAACAAACAGAAAGGATTAAAATTGAAGATAGTGTGGAAACCATGAATAATAAATTAGCGAGCGAAAGACTTCTAATAGTTGCTAATTTGTTGACAGAAAAAGATAAAAGTGTATTTTTGCAGAGTGTTAAAATAAAATTTCCAAATTTCTCCAGTGGTAAGTCTTACTTTCTTGTGAATGTATAAATCTCTAATGTTTTAAGTGTTCTTGTTTTTCACGGATTGGTGTCTTTTTAGTTGGTTGTTTTTGGTAAGATTAGTTTTTGAGAAAAAATATATAATTTTTGCTGTTTATTTTACAGTTCCTGAAACATATGAAGCCCTCCACAAAATTTTGAAATGCTATAATGCTGAAGAGCAGGGTGTAATTATAGATCACATAATGAAAAAAAACCACATTAGTTTAAATGAAGTCAATAGATCACGACTAGAAACATTGTTTCAGTTCCTTTTACAACATATAGATCATTCAGCTTCACAGGTTTATATGATTTTATCCTTTTTATAATGATTCTCTAACATGCAGTCTCGTTTCTTAAAAAGTCTTTCACACATATTTCAGGATGCTGGACAAGGTTTAAAAGTTCTCAATTATCTAGCACCATCACTTTATGATTTAGCTCATATGTCACCGGAGTGTGTATCTCGTAGTGTCCTAGAAATAATCAAAGAGAAACAACAGGCCTTCCAGAATCGTCAGCAGAAATATCCTACCTTCAATTCTGTATGTATTTTTAAAATTTATTTGAAAGATGTTTTATTGCTTTGTGTTTCAAGATTCTATAAATTTTATTTTATTTTTTCAGTTAATTTTCTTCAAAGTTGTGTCTTTGTTATTTCCAACATCAGATTTTCAACATCCAGTTGTCTCTCCATCAGTGGTTTTCATGTGTCAGATGCTCTTTCAGTGTCGTGTGAAATCTAGAAGAGACATTTCTGCTGGATTATTTCTTGTTACCATGGTGTTAGAGGTAAATAAATTTATATTTTAGAATTTGTTAGAACCTTTGTGCAGAGAGAACTCATTGGAATTGTCAAAATTGTAAAGTTCACAGTTCTGTCAAAGAGATTTTCACCAGCTGCCATAAATTTCTTGTGTGGAGTGCTGCATCTAGCAATTCCCAAGAGGCTAGTTCAAGTGGCTAGTGTGCTGCCTATTCCTCCTTTCCGAAGAGTTGGTGAATATAGTGACTTGCTTTTATTGGAGGATAAAGTGTAAGTTAATTATTCTCTTCTTGCATTATTTTTTCAGTGAAATGACTATTTCATTAAATTTCTACACAGTATTAGGAGCCATTTTTGAGAAAATTTCAAAATCTTGGGATTTGTATAAAGTACCCCCAGAAATTAAAAGATCATTTCAATTTTGACGGGCAGTGACATACTATATTACACTGAATTAAAACAGAATTTTCTGTTACAATCTCTTTTGAAAAATACTGGATCGTCCACTATACTAGTTTTGCAAATTAAACCTACTATTATGCTATGTGGGAAATGAGATTTTAGTATTAACAGTTAGGTGGCATTCCTACGTTTCTACAGCGACAGAATGCATTGGGCCAATCGGGTGTCGGTTACATCAGTATGTATTGACCCATGTTGCCGATTATTTCTATATACCACCACATGCATGGCTAGAGACAAGAAAGGGTTACAACCGTGGGGCTCTGGGCTAGAATAAACATTAACTTGATAGTGAACGATGATTAGGTGTTTTGATTAAGCGTTGCACCCCAGTCAGGGCAACCGATTTTTTGAACAAATTTAGTTATTAAAATGCATTGTTACTCAGTAATATGGTCACAATTTGGATTTCTTTGACTGTGGAACATATTCTTCGGGTGTAATTGCGTCTGAAAGGTGCTGGAAGGTGACAATAATATGTAACTTTTTTTGCATTGAAAAACTTCCCAGAAAATTTACATCAAACAATTAGAACATTAACATCAACTTTTTTCTTCTTCTTCCTCTTTCCTTCTTCTTCTTATTCTTTCTTTTCTCTCTCTCTTCTCTCTCTCTTCTCTGTCTTTCTCTCCTCTCTTTCTCTCTCTCTTTCTCGGTCTTTCTCTCTCTCTTTCTCTCTCTGCTCTTTCTCTCTCATCTTCCTCTCTTCTCTTTCTCTCCTCTCATTCTCTCTCTCTTTCTCTCTTCCTCTTTCTCTCTCTCTTCTCTTCTTCTTTCTCTCTCTCTTCTCTCTTCTCCCCTCTCTTTTTCTCTCCTCTCCTCCCTCTTTTCTCTCTCTCTTTTCCTCTCCTTCTCTTCCCCTCTTCTCGTCCTCTCTCTCCCTCTCTTTCTTTCTCTTCTTTCCTCATCTCATTCTTTGCCCTTTCTTCCGCCTTCTCAGTCCTCTCTATCCGCCGCAGGCGTTCTTCGATCTCTCGAGCTGTCGAACTCCCACCCACTGTCCATCCTTCTCTCTCTCTTTCTCTCTCTTCTTTTCTCTCTCTCTCTTTCTCCTCTCTCATCTTTCTCTCCTCATCCCTTTCTCTCTCTCTCTTTTCTCCTCTCGTCATCTCGCCCTCAGGATCTTTTCTTCTCTCTGTCAGCATCTTTCCTCTCTCATCTCTTTCTCTCTTCCCTCTCTTCTCTCCCGCTCTCCTCTCCTGTGCCTCTTTTTTCTGCTCTGCTCCACTTTCTCTCTCTCTCTCTTTCTCTCTCTCTCTCTTCCTCTCTCTCTTTTCTCCCCTCCTCCCTTCCTCTCCTTCTCCTCTCACCGTCCTCTCTTTTCCTGCCCTCCTCTCCCTTCCTCCCCCTCTCTCCTCCTTCATCTTTCTCTCCCTCTCCCTCTCTCCTCCTTTTCTTCTCGGTCTCTCTCTTTCATCCTCATCTCTCTCCTCTCTCTTCTCTCTCTTCTCTTTTCTCTCTCTCTCTCTTTCTCTCTCTCTCTCCCCTCCCCTCGCTCCCTCTTTCCTCTCTCTCCCCGCCCCTCCTCCTGCTCCCCTCTCTTCTCTCCACTTCTTTCTCTCCTCTCCTCTTTCTCTTCTCATCTCTCTCTGCTTCCTCTTTCTCTCTCTTTCTCTCTTTCTTCTCTCTCCTCTCCTCCCGCTCTTTCTCTCTCTTCTCTCAACTCTCTCTCTTTTTCTCTCTCTTCTTTTTCCTCCTCTCTTCCTCTTTTTCCTCTCTCTTCACTCCTCCTTTCTCTCTCTTCTCTCCTCATTCCTCTCTTCGTTCTTCTCTCCTTCTTCTCCTACTCTCCTTGTTCCAGCCGCTACCGGCTTTGTCTGTCGAATTTGTGGCGTTTTCTTTTTTTTTTGTTTTTTTTCCTCCTCTTTTTTTTTCTTCCTCTCCGTTTAGTAAAC